AATGGTCATTAATTGAAATTGTTCAAAAATTGTCTGTAAAATCTTTAAGTACCCTTTATTGGGTTACTTATTATCAAGGACCACCCATGAACAGACCTCCTGCTCTACAGTAGTATTTGATACCAATTTAAAAATTTGTTTTAGTAATATTATCGCTAATTGAAAATATTACATATAAATGTATTCACAATAGAGTCTTAATTAAACTTACTATAATTTTAATGTAAATATCATTTTACTTTTATATTCAATTCTATTTGATGATAATCACCGTTATGTATGTATTTTTAACTTCCCGTAGGGTAAGTTATAGTAATCGTCCAAAAATCGAAATCAAAAAATTTTTACATTTCTCGACGTTTTGAAGGTTTCTGAACATTTTGGCATACTTCAGAAAAAATGGATGTGTGTGTGTGTGTGTGTGTGTGTGTGTGTGTGTGTGTTTTGTATGTCCGCTTTTTTTCGTCCACGTTTTCGGGCGCACGGATCAACCGATTTGAATGGTTTAAAAAACATTCGATTCCTATCGATAGGGAGATGTGCTGATTAGTTTTTGGCAAAGGCAGGTCCAGCCGTTACGGAGATATGGAGCAAAGAGTGCAAATAATAGAAAGCGAGTTTTTGAGAGAACGGATCAACCGATTTGAATGGTTTAAAAAACATTCGATTCCTATTGATAGGGAGATGTGCTGATTAGTTTTTGGCAAAGGTAGGCCCAGAGGTTTCGGAGATACCGAGCTAAATTTAAAAAAAATGGCTGTTTTTGAGAGAACTAAGCGTCCGATTTAAATGATTCAAAGAACTTTCTGCTTTTTTCAACAAAACAATTGATTTTGGAAAAAAAAATTTTTGTTTCTAATTTTTTTTCAAAAATTTTTTTTTGTAATTTTGGACTAAAAATTCAAAAAATCACCCAAGCTAAGCACAGTCTAAGCGCCACTCTGGTAGAAATGTTTACGCAAGTGCGTTTAGACTGTTTGTGTACTGGAGCACTTTTTCAATTTTGTGAAAATTATTGAAAAATGTGAAAATGCCGCCAAGCTGAGCACAGTATAAGTGAAAATGTCGCAAAGAATTATTTGCAAATGCGTTTAGACTGTGACTATGCGGGAGCACTTTTTCAATTTTGTGTAAATTTGGCAACTATTTTTTTTGGAATTTGATTCGAAATGAAATGACGATTGTTAATGTTCTGGAGATGATAAATTGATTTATTTGTAATTAACTTTCCATAGGGTAAGTAATCGCAAAAAAATCGAAAATGAAAATTTTTATATATCTTCACGTTTCAGAGGTTTCTGAATATGTTGGCATACCTTGGAGAAAATTGATGTATGTGTGTGTGTGTGTGTGCGTCCATGTGTGTGTGTTCGGATACAAATTTTCGTCGACGATTTCGGGAACACGGATGAAGCAATTTGAATAATTCAAAAAAACATTCGATTCGTATTGATAAGGAGACGTGCTGATTAGTTTTTGTCAAAGGCAGGTCTAGCCATTCCGAAGATATGGGGCAAAAAGGGCCAAAAACGGTAACTCAGTTTTTAAGAGAACGGAGCGTCCGATTGGAATAATTCAAAAAACATTTTACTTGTATTAACAGGATGAAGATTTGATCAAATTTTCATGAAGATAGGTCTAGCGGTTTCGGAGATCTAGTAAAAAAAACTAAAAAAAATAACATTTGGCGGTCAACAATAATCATTAGACATTAGACATATGCATATCAAATTATCAGATATTTTATTGAGATTTTAACAATAAGTATAAGTTTTGTTTACATTCCTATGGGTTCCGTACCAATGTTTTTCCGTTAGACAGCGACGCGGCGCTTACGCGCTTTATATTTTGTCTCTATGCAGTTAAGGCAGTACGATTGCTTTGAAAAAAAGTTCAGATCTTCCAAAATATGTCAAAATGAAGATAACATTTTTTCCAAAAAAAAATTTTTACAAAAAAAATTGTTTAAAAATTTTTTTTAAAAAAAAATTTTTTTTTTCAAAAAAAGTAATTTTTTGTCCAATTTAAAATTTCTAAAAAATCTTATTTTTTCGAAGTAAAATTTTTTCAAAAATGTTAATCGTTTTTAAAAAAATAATAATTTTTGGCACGGGAAGTTCCAGCAATTTGCCTTAAGGCACGATGCCTTAATTGCCTTAAGACAGAATTCCACTTACAGCTAGTTTGATCCTCAAATGCATTGCAAAGTGGACGAGAGACCTACAATATTTGAACAGCAGTTAGCATAGCAATTTGCGTATATAAATACCCATAGCATAGCGCCTATTATGAAATAATTACATAAAAGATAGTGCTAATTTATAGGCAGATGATAGACAAACATTTCTGGAGCCTAAAATAGAATACAGATGATACTTCTTTTTAAATTGCCGTGGGGTATATTTCAAAAATGGGTCCATTGATTGAAAATTATTTATTATTTTTATTATTTGATTATCATTTATTTAATGGTTTTATTTGTCTTCTTAGCGACGGGACCTAAATCAGAGGTCCCGGGTTCGATACCCACTTCGAGCAGTCTGTTGTCAGGCAGCAGTGACAACGATTTTCACTTGGAAATATAGATAGCAATATGTTTCCAAGTGAAAATAGCCCTTGCCCGGCATTGCTGCACCAATAAAAACTCAGCCCTATTAGATTATAGTTCTAATAACAAAAATCATCAAATATGGATGGTTTAACCATTGGGTTACCATCTAAAAAATACGAAGTAAGGAGAAGTTTCAGCCCAACAGCTCATAGGACGTAAGGTTCTGATTGCTGTTAAAAATATAATAAAAAAAATGTCTTTCTTTTTTCCGTTTATTTTGATTTTCAACATTCACTTTCAGCTGATAGATTGTATTTATAATCTGAATTGATGGAAAATGCTTCTAAACCTATTGCTTCAAAATGGAACTATTTGATTAAAAATAAATCCGGTTAACAATGACTATCTGAAGAGTTCACTAGTTATTTTGCAAAGGAAGATTTCCAGCTGTTTTGGTGATACTGAGGAAAAGTGCAAACAACGGCCACTTGATGGTCAAAAAAAGAACATTTGTCATGTCATAGCTTTAATTTGAAGGCTCCAGTGGCTATTTTATACAAACTTCAACAATTGCATAATTTTTACTGCTGATTTATTGGTTTTTGCATCAACATTGAAATAGAAATTTTAGACAGACAGTTCAAAAATGTTGAAGTGTGAGAGCAGCAAAAATTCTTTACATCCAAATTTTAATTGATTTGAGTTTTTTAGAAAATCTTGCTGTTGGAATTGTAAGTTTGAACAATTCACCTCTAAAGCAACTATTATATATTAGTATATCATAGAAGGAAAAAATAGTAAAGGACGAAGTTGAATGCCAACTGATGCTAGAACAGAAAATTCAGGAAATTGAAATTCGAAGCACAGGAAACGAAAGCAAGGAAGCAAACGTTAGGGAAGTTAAAAATGAAATATAAAAATGGAGGAAGGAGGCATCAATAAAATTTGTGGTGTTTTCATGTCATGGATTCATATTTGACCAGATTACGAATAATAATAATATTTGTCTTTTAAATGGATAAATATTTTATTCCGCCTGGCACGCACGTTACTTTTCGTTTGTGTGTCGTTTGTTGCATCGCTCAGGAAACTGGTCTTTGTCATATATTTATATCAAGGTTTCATAATTAAAATATTATGAACTTGAATTAAAATTCCAAACATGTCCTTATATAAAAAATAGTCGATTTTTTATATGTAATGGCTCAATGTTTCAAAATTAATTAAAGATTTGAAATAATTTTTAGATTAGATGAATCTCTTGGATGAGTATAAAGCAATGGAGATAATTATATTGTTCAAATTGAATTGTTGAATGAAATTTGCATTGAATATATTTTATGGGCTGATAAAATAAGAAATAATGAAGTACTTAGGAGGGTGGGAGAAGAAAGAACTCTACTGAGCAAAATCATTAAAAGGAAAGGAAACGGTATCGGACACATTCTGCAAAAAAGTGTCTTCTGCACGACGTCGTCGAGGTAAAATAGGACTAAAAGGATTGGGAAGAAGAAGAATGCAGATGATTGATGACCTACGCGAGAACAGAAAATACAGGTAACTGAAAGCCGAAGCATAGGACCAGGAAGCATGGAAGCAGAAGTTTGAAAATTTGTCAGAAAATGTGATTAATGGTAATAAAACAGTAATTGGAATAATAATTGTGGTGCTTTCACACCATGAACCTGCCTTTGAGCATCCTACCATTTATTATTATAAATGTATTATAATAATATAATAAAAAGAATAATTAGTGGTGTATAGCATGGCGCCTTAAGGCAAATTGCAGGAACTTCCCGTATCGTAACGAAATGATAGGATACTCCGTTCTCTCAAAAACTCGGTTTCTATTTTCTGCACTCTTTGCTCTGTATCTTCGTAACGGCTGGACCTGCCTTTGCCAAAAACTAATCAGCACATCTCTCTATCAATAGAAATCGATTGCTTTTTGAATTTTTCGAATCGGTTTATCCATACACCCGAAATCGTCGACGAAAAATCGTCTCCACACACACACACATACACACGCACACATCTATTTTTTATGATTATGAGGTATGTCAAAAAGTTTAGAAACCTCTGAAACGTAAAGATATTCAAAAATTTTCATTCTCGATTTCGGCCCATTACTTTAACTTACCCTAATTATTGAACAGTTATATTTTATTAAAATTGTTGTTCATATTAGGGTTGTACATATTTGAGATACTTATTACCATTTCAAACATCTCGTTGTACATCGAATATAAACTTTTTGTAATTGTGCAATCTAGTAAAGTACATCTTGTAAATATACTTTTCCTGTTATTGTGGTATATTTTTCTATAATAGATGATGATAAATTATTATTATTTCCATCCTTAGCACAAGACTTGGGACCGTTCTTGCAAGATGCGTTCGTCATTGCGGTCGAGGATGAAGCAAGAAAACGATTAGCAAAACTAGCGGCTCTAAACAAAGTCACGCCGGTCGACATAACAGAACTAGCTAAACGGGTAAGTTGGAAATATTTGAAATTCTTTTACTTTTAAACCCTACTAAGATAGTAATATATATATATCAAAAACGAGAAAGTTGTTAAATTGCACAAATTGAATAAATAAACTTCTCGTGTACAATTTGTAGTCTAAAACAACAACGTGTGCTCTGCCCCTGCCCTAGGGTAGCTAAAAAATAGTGTGAAGGTTTTGCCATTACAATTTTCAAAATTGATATCACTGCTGCATGATATCAGGTTGTTTAGATCGGAGTCTTGAACTCATGACCCCGTCGACACAAAGAAGAATGCGCCTATAAAATGTAGCATAAAGCATTAAAAAGGTCATAAATTGACAATAAGATAAATTGGCATTTCAAATTTAATGTTTAACTCAATATAGAGAAAGTAATTTTGTGAAAATTACTGATTGAAGGTTTAGAAATTTTATAATATCTAAAATAAGTAAATAAATAAAATAATATCTGAATATTAATTCAAAAATTTTTTTAAAACATATTAATACCAATAATAATTTTTAAAATATATTAATACCAATAATAATAACAAAAATTTTAAAAATATTATGGTAAAATAAATTAAAAAATTAACTTTATTTTTAACCTCGGTGCAACAATAAGTATAATTTAAAACAGTTTTTATTGGATAAATTATTACATTTATTTTTAGTTTTGAATCCTTGTTTGTTTACATATTATTTAAGTGTACAATGTTCTTCCAATTTCATAATATGCACATATACAGGGTGTCTCAGAACTCAACGTCAAGCTTTTGGCGGTTAAATAGTATCTATCTATCATGAAACAAAAATAGAAAAAAATTCATTTCGTTGTTTTAATTATGAGCATTTATCGGCGTTAGATTTCTAGATCTAGGTTTTTATATTTACTCAATTTTTTTATTATGAAACTTTCAAGTATTTTACCATTGTAAAATTGTGAGTAAATTCGCCAACTTTTGATTACTTGCCGACACATTTTAGTACATTTTATTTAAAAAACGGCCTCGCATTTATTTTAAGTTTTGAATCTTTGTTTGGTTATATATTATATGTGTATAATGATTTACCAATTTCATAATAAGCACATATACAGGGTGTCCTAGAACTCAGCGTCAAGCTTTTGGCTGTTAAATAGTATCAATCCAACATAAAAAAATGGAAAAAAAAATCTTTTTGTTGTTTTAATTATGAGCTTTTATCTATGTTTCTAGGTCAAGGTTATTATTTTTTACTCGATTTATTTTTATTATGAAAGTTTCAAGTATTTTACCATTATTAAATTATGATTAAATGTGCCAACTTTTTATTAAACTTGCCAACTCATTTTAGAACATTTTATTTAAAGGAGGACCTCTCAAAGTATACCTATTTTAAAAATTTTAAATTCATAGTTTAACAAATAGTCTTAATGAAAACTTGGAGTAATTGTGTCATTACTTTTAACTATAGACCTATAAATTACCAAAGCTCTAGATTAAATTCAAAAGCTACGATCAATACTATCACCCCTAGGCTATCGGCTCGACGTCGAGTTCTTGGACACCCTGTATAGTACCACTAATTTTAAATTATTATTTCACATGGTTTGCTCATTTTACGTTAACAGTTTATGTTACAAGTATACTTATGTCAAAAGATAATGACACATTTCTTCATTATTCGACACCCTGGCTTGTACAAAAAAAAAGTATTTCCTGTGTATTTAGTTTAATTTTGGCGAAATCCGTTTCGAGTGGCGCCATTCCTATTACCAATGCTTAGACGAGGTCATTTATTTATTGCTTCGCCATACCACTCGAGTATTTCGGGTGTAATGTGACCCTGTATAACATTTGGGGTATGTTATGGTTATTGTTCATTAATAATGACAAAATGTCATTTTGACTTTCAAGTAATTGCTGACAGATTCATATATGTGTATTTGCTCCAACACGATTTGACTTTCTTTTAAAAAGAAATTCATTTGAAACTTGTTCAAGTGCTTGAAGATTATGGAAAAGCGTTGACGAGAAACATTTGTGTATAATGAATGAAAATATTTACATGAGGGTGGTAAATAATTAATAATTAACTTCCCGTAGGGTAAGTTATTGTAATGGGCCGAAATTCGGAATTGAAAATTTTTACATTTCTCGACGTTTCGAAGGTTTCTGAACATTTGTGTGTACATGTATGTATGTATAGATACAAATTTCCAGTCACGTTTTCGGGCGCACGGATCAATCGATTTGAATGGTTCAAAAAACATTTGATTCCTATTGATAGGGAAAAGAGTTGATTAGTTTTTGGCAAAGGCAGGTCCAGCCGTTTCGGAGATACGGAACAAAGAGTGCAGAAAATAGAAATCGACTTTTTGAGAGAACGGAGTATCCGATTTGAATGATCTAAAAAGCATTCAATTAGTAATGATTGGAAGAAGTGTTTATTAGGTTTTGGCAAAGGCAGGCAGGCCCAGCCATTTCGAAGATACAGAGCTAAATGTTGAAAAAAATGGCAGTTTTTGAGAGAACTAAGCGCCCGATTTAAATGATTCAAAGAACTTTCTGCTTGTCTTAACAAAATAATTGATTTTGGAAAAAAAATTTTGTTTCAACTTTTTTTAAAAAAAATTATTTGTATATCGAAAATAATTCAGATTTTATTTTTAATTCTGACTATAGTTCTAATATACTTTACAAATAATTTCAACTTTGCAATTCAGTTTATATAATTCTTATAAATATTAGTCAATGTTATAATATTTATAATAATCTATTTGAAAACATTCAGTATTCCTCGAATATTTCGTTACGGTACGGGAAGTTCCAGCAATTTGCCTTAAGGCACGATGCGACCCACCCCACTAGCATAAAACTGCTTTTATGCAATAATATGTCTCAAAGAATTTTAGTTAAAAAATATAATTTTAAATCCGTCAATTACTTTGCTAAAAATCGGCATTATATTTGAAAATATTCATTATTTTCTTAAGTAATCATATAAACACGCTTGAATACTTAAGCCCTTTTTATCGTTGCTTTACATTACAATCTGGTTATGAAATGGCCTGGCGGCAAGATATAGAATGGATAATATTTTTTTAGAACTTTTATGGAAGCTTTTAAGCTGTTCTTATGTAAATATATTTTTATTTCGGAATGGTTTATAAACATCTTTATCTTAATACCACCTGAAAAATAAACAATATAAACGAAAGTTATTTTTTGTCTTAGGAACTTTTCAATGTTTCCCAATCAATCTAACTAAATTTGGATAGTAGATTTGTCATCTAATTAGCTTTGAAAAATTGTATCTTTATTTATATTATATCATTATTATTGACATATAGATCCATGTATGGCACAAAGTTTGTTTTTTGAGAATAATAATTCACAACAATAGTGAACTTCCAAGAATTCTGGATAAATTTCTGATTATTTTTTACAGTTGAATTCAAAAGACTCCGCCTCCGTTCTGCCCGGTACTGATGCAAAAAGCTTTCCTGGATTATACGTGACATCTCTGTCAGGTGCGACGGCTGTGACAGACGCCACTGTCACCACCAGTGTGCCTGCCGCTGGCCCGACACCAGTAACCAGCGTCACCGCCGGAACACCAGCGCCTCTCAGCGTTGGAGACGGTAAACTTGTACCAAACGGACACGGCCCTGCCCTAAGAAGACCATCGGCCGAGGTAATAAGATTTAGATATTTTAAAATATCAAATACACAGAATATAAATCTTTTATAAAATATGAACATGAGTGTTTTGTTATCTTATCATCAGGATTCCGTTCTGTCCGCACTTGCCGCCACAGCACCGGCTTCTATCCATTTAAACAACAAACAGTTACCTCCTCAACAATTGGCACCTGCAGGAGGAAACGAGCTGCTGCTTGGTGAACAAGTGCGCACGACCGCGATAATCGAAAACCAACAACTGCTGGCACCGCCGGCTGGGCAACTGTCTCAAGACAGGTTAGTGGATGATTGTATTTCTAAATATAAATATCGATTAAGAAAATGGTAATTTGTAAATGATACCATACTAATTAACATACTGTCGAAATTAGACACTCGTAAAAATCATTGACGATGAAGTTAATTCTCCATAAGCAAAATTTATACTTATGAATATTTTTACAAAATTACTAGCATGATATGTCACCTGATATTTCATAATTTATAAAACGCATTCGCCCACGCGTTCCTCCTATTAAACACACGTTTTCACAATCACTAACACAACGACGTAGTGCATTTTGGTAACATATGTGAGGTTACCTGCTTAAGCCCCAAAGGTATGTACAGGTATATAGATAAATATTGTAGCCAGAGTTGATATACATTTTTTTCTTAATAAATGATTTCTAACACGGTTGAAAATGTATCAATGTAAATGTATGTAATAATGTATGATTCACTGTGGTAACATTTGTGCTTTCACCTTTGGGAAAAAATAACATTTACTGAGTTAAAATATTAAAGATAACACTGGAACCTGTATTAAATTTTAAATACTATTTTTATATCCACGCCTATAAACATTTAGCTAAAATTATTTCTATTAATTTTGATAAAAATTGATACAAGAAAATAAAAACTAGATAAAATAAATAACCAAAGTACAAAGTCGATTTGTATACAAAAAATAAATTTCTATTTGTAGGTAGTAAAGATTTGCAACCCATGTAAATATAGAGAATTTATATGTGGGCATCATTGTATTCTACCTAGTAATTACAAGTCATAAAAATATTTTAGGGAAATAAATATACACAAGTAAAAAGTCATCTATCTGTAATTTGGTGTACACAACTTGTTTGTTTCGTATAGTAATAAATTTCATAGTAAAACAGCTATCTGGTTTCAGCAAACTATTTTCTTCATATGTTTTTTGTACTATCGCATTATATTATTAATAACGGTAATTTGCAAAACAAAATAGTTTCCAATATAAAAAAAATATTTCCAGGATTCTTACGGCAAATGATTGATTTTGTTTTCAAAGTAAAAATACATATTTCTTATTCTCATTTTTTACCAGGATCTGATTGATAAATATATAAATATCGTTCGAACCACTATTTAATTTTTCTGATAATTTTTGGACTATCTGTATGCGATCTTAAAACCATCAAAATTGTCTGATAAACAAGAAACTTAAAAAATGCCTAAATTTATTTTATCATCACATTGAATAGATTATCATGAGTTCACATTATATTATTTGGGCAGGAAACTAACAGCCAGAATGACATTGTTGCCTGCCTACAATATCATTCAATGCATATTTTTAAATAAATCAAGTTTAAGTTTCGACACACCTTTATTTTATGCATGGTGACATGATCTTTATCGCAATGACGAAGATCATATGAGAAAGTGCAGCTCGTTTTTATTCTCGTATGTGTAACTATACCTATAATAATCTTCCTGGGCATGTCTCACAATCAGTACTCAACCACACCCAACATTTTTTCTGTGTCTCAAAATTATTATCGAGTGCTGGCCATGTCTCTTCGGTATGATCGATTCAGAAACCACTTGTTCTGAATTCGATACCCACCTTGGCCAGTTTGTCTCAAACAGTAGTGGTATCAGATTTTTATTTCTCAAACATGCGGTCTTTTAGTGCATTGCTGCAATATTTGTTCACAACACAATTAGGAAAATTTTTAACATAATCTTAACAGAACGATAATGTTCAATCACTATGTTGTTTTCTAGAAATATGTAGTAGGGTTTGAGCTTGGGTTTTACTCATCTTCAGTATAAAAAATAATAACAGTTTCAAAAAATAACTAGTGGGGCGCATGGCATCGAGCCTTAAGGCAAATTGCTGCAACATTCCGTACCGTTATTTAACATTCGAAGAATAAAAATAATCAGTTCGACTGGATTCATATCCGGCCGGAGTCATATCCGAGCGGAGTCATATCCGAGCGGAGTCATATCCGACTGAGTCATATCCGAGCGGAGTCATATCCGACCGGAGTCATATCCGACCGGAGTCATATCCGACCGGAGTCATATCCGACTGGAGTTATTTCCGGTTTTGGACTCCGGTCGGATATGATTCCGGTCGGATATGATTCCGGTCGGATACGACTCCGGTCGGATATAACTCCGGTCGGATATAACTCCGGTCAGATATGACTCCGGTCGGATATAACTCCGTTAGGATATGACTCCGGTCGGATATAACTCCGGTCGAATATAACTCCGGTCGGATATGACTCCGGTCGGATATAACTCCGGTCGAATATAACTCCGCTCGGATATAACTCCGGTCGGATATAACTCCGCCCGGATATGACTCCGCTCGGATATGACTCCGCTCGGATACGACTCCGCTCGGATATAACTCAGGCCGGATATAACTCCGGTCGGATATAACTCCGGTCGGATATGATTCCGGTCGGATATGACTCCGGCCGGATATAACTCCGGTCCGATATGACGCCGGCCGGATATAACTCCGGTCGGATATAACTCTGGTCAATTATGACTCCAGTCGGATATGACTCCGGTCGGATATAACTCCGCTCGGATATAACTCCGCTCGGATATAACTCCGCTCGGATATAACTCCGCTCGGATATAACTCCGGTCGGATATGACTCCGGTCGGATATAACTCCGGTCGGATATAACTCCGGTCGGATATGACTCAGCTCGGATATGACTCAGCTCGGATATAACTCCGGTCGGATATGACTCCGGTCGGATATAACTCCGGTCGGATATAACTCCGGTCGGATATGATTCCGGCCGGATATAACTCCGGTCGGATATGACTCCGGTCGGATATGACTCCGGCGGATATAACTCCGGTCGGATTTGACTCCGGCCGGATATAACTCCGGTCGGATATAACTCCGGTCGGATATAACTTTAGTCGGATATGATTACAATCGGATATGACTCCGCTCGGATATAACTCCGGTCGGATATGACTCCGCTCGGATATAACTCCGGTCGGATATAACTCCGCTCGGATATGACTCCGGTCGGATATGACTCCGGTCGTATATGACTCCGGTCGGTTATAACTCCGGTCGGATATGATTCCGGCCGGATATAACTCCGGTGGGATATGATTCCGGTCGGATATAACTCCGGTCGGATATGATTCCGGCCGGATATGATTCCGCCGGATATAACTCCGGTCGGATATAACTCCGGTCGGATATGACTCCGGTTGGATATAACTCCGGTCGGATATGACTCCGCTTGGATATGACTCCGGTCGGATATGACTCCGGTCGGATATAACTCCGGTCGGATATAACTCCGGTCGGATATGACTCCGGTCGGATATAACTCCGGCCGGATATGACTCCAGTCGGATATGACTCCGGTCGGATATAACTCCAGTCGGATATAACTCCGGTCGGATATGACCCCGGTCGAATATGACTCCGGTCGGATATGACTCCGGTCGGATATAACTCCGGTCGGATATGATTCCGGCCGGATATAACTCCGGTCGGATATAACTCCGGTCGGATATGACTCCGGTCGGATATAACTCCGGTCGGATATGACTCCGTTCGGATATGACTCCGCTCGGATGCGACTCCGTTCAGATATGACCCCGCTTGAATATGACTCCGCTCGGATATGACTACGTCTGGATATAACTCCGGCCGGATATGACTCCGTTTGGATACGACTCCGCTCGGATATAACTCCGGTCGGATATGACTCCGCTCGGATGTGACTCCGTTCAGATATGACCCCGCTTGAATGACTCCGCTCGGATATGACTACGTCTGGATATAACTCCGGCCGGATATGACTCCGTTTGGATACGACTCCGCTCGGATATAAATCCGGTCGGATATGACTCCGCTCGGATATAACTCCGGTCGGATATCATATCCGGCCGGAGTTATATCCAGACGTAGTCATATCCGAGCGGAGTCATATTCAAGCGGGGTCATATCTGAACGGAGTCGCATCCGAGCGGAGTCACATCCGAGCGGAGTCATATCCGAACGGAGTTATATCCGGACGGATTCATATCCGAGCGGAGTCATGTCATATTCGATTTTCGACCCATTACAATCCCTACGGGGAGTTAATAAGGTATCGACGAAAATAAAAAAAGTTTTATTCCGACGAGTAAAAAAGTCAGTTCCCTGAAATGCTGTTATTGATGATGTGTATTGAGTGTCTGTAATATTGCAACCGATGAAATGATACTCAAATAACTTTGTCATGTCAATTTTCGACACTACTATTATGAGTAGTATCAATTTCTGAATACCCAGTTGCGGCTTTTATTTTTGATTCCAAATAAGATTTAAGATCTGTCATTATGTACTCTAACAGCTGACTGGGTTGAATGAGAACTTTTTACAAGTAAGAACTTGCAGGTAGATTTCTGAGAACATTGAGAAAAGTCTATAAAAGTTTTTATCTACTCACACATATAGCTGATATATAAATAATATGAACATCAATATACATATGTAATTGCATTAGCAGAGAAGTTATCATTAGACCCGGACGTCCAATCACTGGATTGGCATTCGATTTAGATTAAGACATTCTAAGTACTTCCAAAAATTTGCTGATGCCATAATGGAATTGACGCAGATATTATAAAAAAAGAAAATATGTTATCGCAAATGTTTAGAATTTATTTGTAATATTTGGTATTTAAGTACAAATGCAAATATTTACACTAAAACAATTAATTATTCATCGTGTTCTCCATCTACATAACATACTCGTGTATATTTTTCGACGTCATGCATCCCCGAAGCGAAAAGCCCTCGTTATAACACAAGTGTATACAAATGATATATAAACGCATGCGTATAAAAAGTTAACAATGGCCGGAAGATCCTTTTCGGAATCAGGATTGAAAAGATAGGAGATTCCAGAAATTCTTTTTTCGTGTCTTTATATTTTCTGTCTCGAGTTTCGCATTTATGATGAAACGTATACGGCATGCATAGTTCGTTA